ACTGTGGTTTGTGTGCTAGTGGGAGTCTTCTTAAAGGCCGGACCGACTTTCTGGTCGCCAGGAGAAACGTGGCAGTCCTGCGACTGAGTGCTGCATGCGTTCAGCCTCTCAAGTAAGATTGCGTTCATATTTTGCAAAAAGACGTGGTAGAAGTGGGTGTTAGGAAGTTATTTTCAACTAAGCTCTATGCTCATTCTAATTTATTGTCTTATATTACAGGGACAAGGCTAACGTGTTGTGCAGAAACCCCGTTCATCAGCGTCGCCTGCGCCTGCCGGAGGTTGGCCGATCCAATAGAGTTGCGTTCAGTCTCGGCAGCAGCCTCTGTGCGGTTCCTTTCACACAGGTATCCTAATGCATAAACGTTTAAATGTTACATATAAACTATAGACAGTGAACAAATGAGAGAACGTGCATTTCTGATTCGTCGATTCAGTTACTGTCGCATTTTTGCAAATTGATATATATATATATATTTTTAGTGAATGCTGCTTTAATGCAGTCAGCCACATTAAAGCCACAAAATAACAAATCAGAAATATTTCTTGCAAACTACAGAGACGGGCTAACCCCATACTAATTGGTTTTGTACACTCTAAAAAAAATGCTGGGTTGTTTCAACCCAACTTTGGGTCAAATATGGACTAACCCAACTTTTGGGTTAGAAATGTAATGTAAAAATGTAACCCAATGGTTGGGTTTGTCCAGGGGTGTCCAAACTCGGTCCTGGAGGGCCGGTGTCCAGAAGTGTTTAGCTCCAACCCCAATTAAACACACCTGAACCAGATAATCAAGCTCTCACTAGGCATACTAGAAACTTAAAGGCGGATGTGTTGAGTCAAGCTGAAGCTAGACTCTGCAGGACACCGGCCCTCCAGGACCGAATTTGGGCACCCCTGGGTTAGTCCATATTTGACCCAAAGTTGGGTTGAAACAACCCAGCATTTTTAAGAGTGTATGTCTACATGGTATCTTTTCTAGAATACTACTTTTTACAAGAAAACTTTTAGTACATTATGAAATTAGGGTTATAAGAGTTCTGTTAATTCACCACCCGCTCCGATTCATTTTTTATAAATGTTGTTGATTCACTAAAAAGAATCGGCTCATTAGAGTCATTCATTTGAGAAACACACTACACTTGTCGCGCTGTATGTTTATTATTCACGGAAAGGAGTCGAACCATGTAGAACAACATGATCATGTTTTGCACCCTGGTGACACGTGTGTAATAAAATGCATCCCTTTTTTTCTTCAGCAGGTTGGAAATCTTTCACATGAATCCCTGATTCGTCGGGCCTCATGTCTAGTCACAGACAGTGCCAACACTTACCTCTCTCAGACCACACTGGCTCTTGTGGATGCTCGTACTCAATATGCCAAGGTAAGACTTGTAAACACTGCATCTTAAACCTATGGTTCACTTAGTAAAGTTAGCTTCGCAATTAGTAGATCACTTGATTGCTGACAATGGTGTTATGTTTCTAATACAATATATATATATTGAATATAAATAAATGAAGTAATTTTACCGTATTTATTTTTCTTAGGCTCTACATACACTCATTGCCCTTCAGAAGCGATACATAACCTCAATAGGAAAACTGACCCCTGCTGAAGAGGACAGCATTTGGCAGGTGATCATTGGCCAGCGAGTGGAGGTAAATGCTGTTCCATTAAATGTTTATTTACTTTTTTGTAGAACAGGGTCTGCTTTAGTTTATCTAAGTGTTGTTTACATTTTGCAACAGTATAGATCTTAAGGCAGATCTTGTGGATATCACGGTGGCCTAGTTCTATTTAATTCAAGAGAACACTTGATTTCAAAGCATTCACTGGGCTTTTTGCTTTTTTCAGGTTAGTGATAGATTGGAAGAATCCAAACGTTTTGAGTCAAACTGGATGAATGCCATCAACATCTGCGAGTTGTCAGCAGAAGCAGCCTACAATTCAGGTATGTTTATAAGTTAATAATTAGATTTGATCTACTATTCAGACTAAAAAAAATAATTTATTATACATATGACTTTGGTCTGGTCTGTGAATTGATTCAACCTTAATATTTTACAGGAGCAGAGCATGCATGCACAGCAACAAAGACTAATCTGCAGGTGGCACAGTGCAAGGTGGAAGAGCTTAGAAAGATCTCAAAAGAAGCAGAGAAAAAACTGGCCGAAACGAAAGCAGAAGAAATCCAGAGAATGGCTGAGTATGTCTCCAGCATTGATATTAATGATCTGGAAGATATTCCAGAGGCCTACCTTCGTGAAGACTAGAAAAACTACATGTGTTCGTGACATTGGTATTCTGTAGCCTGCAGTGAATCACTCAATGAGTATGACTGAATCAAGAATGCACCTTGATATGAATTTGCAATCAGTATTGGTTATGGAATAACCAATGAAGGCCTCACTGAATTGATATGGTTGATGTTCATAACGATAAAGCAGATAAAAGTCTCAAAAAAACAAAAGAAACGGTATTAAGTGATTAATGCAGCTTGTAAGATGCATATAGAGGTGAAGCCTGCAAAGAAATTGCTTTGGAAGTATTTGTATATATGTATATATTTTCATATTGTTGGTTTATTTTTTAGTGCAATTACATGCGTGTTAATGCAACAATGAAATCATATCACATGTTGTGATATTCCAGTCTATACAAAGTTGCAATCAGTGCGTTTTATATTTGTAGAGATCAGCTGTTATTTATTATCCTAATAAATGGAAATTTTATTTAGAACAGTTTTTGCAAAATGTGTGAATTCCAATCAATTATTTACTTGAACTGAGTTATGGTGCTTATAAGTTTTACAATGAATTGATATATATATTTCAAATATTTTGTGGAACAGTGTTATTGCATTGTCCAATGCGTTATAAAACTTCTCATTCACACGCAAACTAATTCAATTACATGATCACTATTATAATTACTATAATTAATTAACTTAAAGTTTAAGATGCTTTTATTTAGTCAGTTTTATGTATAAGTTCAAAGTTTTGACCAACAGAGGGCAATGTCATGCTTTTTATGGAAAAAGGAAAAAAGTTTGGCTGCTTGAATGTAGAAATACAACGTAATAATATTTTAGTGAGTCTAATTACAGTATAGAAGTCTGTTATTAACTGTAAACAGATAATAGTAAATGGTTACCCAAAATAGATTTATGTGATCGTTTACTCAACATGTTGTTCTAAACCTCTGACTTAGCTATTTCTTCTGCTAAACACTAAAGTAGATGGTATGCAGCATGGCACCATACACTTTTATTGCAAAACTTTTTCAATACAATTATATTTAATATTGTTTTCCGTACAACTGTCATTCCGAACAATATCTACTTTTGTGTTCTACAGATGATGACAGAATTGTCAGGTGATAAGAGAGCTGAAAGTTTTTTCTTTTTGACACTCAATGTCACAAAATATATTTGATACATGTTCTTTAACTTGAATTTTCACTCATTTTCAGCAATATACAGCACAGTGTTGCATATTACTTTCCTACGGACATCGAAATTCTGTTCATTAAGGATTGATCTGGCCAGTATTTATACTGAGAATCCTCTAAGTCAAGGGTTTTTCTGTTTACAGACCCAGGGTCCCCCACTTAGATTATCAGTCAGCTCAGGGGCCCCCAGTATAAAACTCTTGCTAGAATTCCACTGTAACATTTTATAATAAATTAAGCGTTAGCGTTAGTTCTGGCAGGTCACGTGAGTCAAGCTTGCATCAGCTGATTCTCAGCTGATCACATCTACCTATAGGAATACCACACCTATCGCGGCATTCCTATATAAGCTGTATTCAGTATTATTCAGCAGCTTTTCAGCTTGCTCCGGAGCAAATTCCCCTCCTCCATCCCCAGCTCCACCTTTCGCCAGTCAGGACTTGGCTTTCTGATATTCCTTGCTAATCAGACTCCTTTATCTTGAATAAAGTGTTACACTTAAATATCATTAAGTACATTAATGATATCTGCCTTGTTCTATTCTGTTAACCCTAAGGGGGTTATTATTGCTGCTCTCCCTGCTCATTCATGACAGGCTGCATGGATGGGCAGGGAGGTTTTTGCCCAGAACAGAACTATACCGCCAAACCAAACTTTATGCTAAGTATCTATCATTTTGACGATAGTGGTCCTGACAGAACTACAATTAAGAACAAACTATCATGCTACATTGTATAATGATCAGCAGATCTTTATTACAAAGTTTAAAAAATAAAAATGTTAAAATTGCCTAATAGTTAGAAATGTCTTAGAATTTGATATGTTTCCACTTCAAACTCCACCTCCACGAAAATATTTGTCTGTCTGTGCATCATCAAGATCCAGAAGTCTTTGCATTTTAGTGAGAGAAGAGTTACATTCAGAAGAGGGCCAATAAAAATGATTGATTGGTGTAAATGGCACCACTCAGCTGGGGATTTAGCACTCTTGAAACACATAAATAAAACACAAGGATCATGGAAAGCGTGCCCAGCATGGCTCACTCTTTAATCTGAGTGAACCGGGCGACATCTCCCAGCACCCCATTGAGCCAAGCCATTCAATACATCTACTTTTATAATGTTACAAGGTAGCATTTTAGCAAATGTATGCTATTCCAGCACGAGCAAATGAAGTTAAAGAATCTGTAATAGTAGCGCTGACAACACAGATGCACAGCCTATATTAGACGATTGAACATATATCGATTAAAGGAGCTTCAAAAACCCCCTAAAGACATCCCGGGACACTCTTTCGCTTCTTGACCTTGTGCAGCCTTGTTTTCTCCATTTATTTTGCTGCTGCTATCATAATTTCATCAATCGTTTGTGTCCGAAAGAAAGTAAATGCTAACTGCATTGCACTGCTCCCATTGCTCCGCATTGTTGACGGGTTTATTTTTAGTCGGAAACTGCTGCTGGACTGAAGGTACCGCCCACGCGCGGTTCGGCTGCTGTGGATCAGACACCGAGTTGGTTCAACGAGTAGGAACTCACTACTGCAGTCTGAAACCATGGCAGAGGAAGTAAGACACATCTTTGGGAATAGAACGTTTTTCCATGGACTTCTACCTCTCGTGGGGCTTCTGTTGAGCGCCTGCACTGGTGGGTACTTCAGCTTTTCCAGGATGATAACGTGTCATCTTGAATTGGATTTACCTTAAAGTTAACATGCGAGTTTGCGGTGAAGTTTACCTAGCGAGCTGGGATGTCTGCGGTATGAGTAAATGCTCCGTTAGCTGTTAAACTTAAAATTAACTGTTATTTAACTAACAATAATAAGCTCTTTATCTAATTTTAGAAATATATATTTTTTAAATCTAAAGCTGCCCAAGACAGCAGAGCGCGTGTCAGCCTATATTATCATTAATACTTTAATTGGCATTTATTTTCTTTTAATATACTTATGTAGGTAACATAGCCTATACTTAAATGTCAATTAATTATTTTTGTGAGTTTGATGTATGATCAGGTTTTTTTTTCATCACATTAGACTTTTAGTTAATAGCAATATGACTTTTTATTACTTTAAAGATGCATTCAGTCTTATTTGGCTTTTTTTTGTGCTTATATTTTATATATAAGTGTAACTGTCATATTCATTTCTAAATAAAATGTCCGAACTAAATAAACAAACAGCCTAGTGAAGTGGCAGCAAACAAACAAACATAATGCATCCAGTCCAATAGGTGTCAGTATAAAGTTTAAAACCATTGGTAGCTTATTATTGAGAAATAAATATTAACAAAAACTTACTAGGTGCATCCCAATGTGTGTACTGTATTTATGCAGTGTTCTATACCATCTACTACGTGTGAGTAGTTCACTCTGAAAATTCCAAAAAGAAAAGCCAAAAATAATTGACCCAAATGATGCAAAATAATTAACCAAAATAAAAAAAATTTAAATGTTGTACACTTATTGCACTCTACAGTCATTAGACTTTTATTTTGGATGAGAAAATGACATTCTAAAATGCATGCATTTGACAGAAGGGTACATCCCAGCTAACAAGAGAACATTCTCTCAACTTGCACTGATCTTTTAAAAATATATATATGTTAAATGTAAGGACAAAACATTCTTAAAGTAATGTTTGTGGGAGCATTCATATAACTTTATTAATATTTGGTATACATTCTCATAACATTGAGAGAAAACGTTCTGAGATCAACATTCTCTGAATGTCCTTATGATGTTACTTGATGAATGTTCTCATAATGATGATAGAAAACGTTTTGAGAGCAACATTCTTGGAACGTACTTATGATGTTATTTGTACGTGTTAAACGTTCTAAATAATGTTTTTTGTAACCTTTAAACAAAGCTCTAATCATGAAAAGTAAGTGGAGAATTCAACGTTTTAGGAACATTTCCTACAATGTTTTTAAAACATAAATATGTTACCTTTGTTATAATGCATATAGTGTATAGTATTTATTTTGGGATTTAACTTCTATGTTCAGTGAAGATTCAGATGTCCAATGTCTCGTGTAAGAAACACTAACTGATGAACCAGAATGGAATTGTTGTAAAAAGTGTTTGTGTAAATGTATCTGGTGTAGAACAAATGAAAGGGTGGGTGTGTTTAAGCAAGGGGGTTGAGGGATTACTTTAGTGCCTGAGAGGAAAAGGACTGAAGCCACAGAGTCTGAAAGTATTGACCTGTTATTGGGCACTCTGCCAGTGGCACCTTCCACTTTTGTTGCCTTAAATATTAGGTTAAAATAGGAGAAACTCTCTGCCTGCCCTTTAGAAAAACACTGCTAGAGGAAGTGGTATGTTAAACAGAATGACTATAATCATATAGTTTGTAGCCCAATGGGAAGGGTGGAAAAATGGATGCAGCAAGCAACTCTAAGCATAAATAAAGCATTTGCAAAATGGCAGGGTTAGGTCACAGGTCATAGTAGTTCACTTGGACAGACTAGCTGCTAATTGGATTTCTGCTGGTCAGACAGGAGAAATGCTGACTTAAGTAATGAGAAACATAAAGGGATGTAGAATTAACAGTTACCAGAGTATATGCAGGGCTCGCAAAATCGCTAGCCCGACGTCCTGGGGCTATTGTGTTTTCCAGTCGGGCTACCAAAATGTACCACTCTGCCCGACGGGCTACCTTAAATACAGATCTTCCGTGGGTACTTAAAAACTCATAAAGTGAGTTGTATCAAACTTAACCATAAAAAGTTTTAAATACGTTTGGGGACGTTACAGTTGGGGATGGAAAGACAAGAGTCGCGATACGGCTGGATTAAAGGGGTCATATGATGTTGCTAAAAATAACATTATTTTGTGTATTTGGTGTAATGAAATGTGTTTATGTGGTTTAAGGTTAAAAAAACACACTATTTTCCACATACTGTACATTATTGTTTCTCCTCTATGCCCGCCTTTCTGAAACGCGTAGATTTTTACAAAGCTCATCGGTCTGAAAAGCGAGGTGTGCTCTGATTGGCCAGCTATCCAGTGCGTTGTGATTGGCCGAATACCTCAAGCGTGTGACGGAAATATACTGATTTCTAGTCGTGTCCTCTTTTGGAAGGCTAAACAAAGTAGTTTCGTTTTCACAATGAAACACACAGCCCCTTCATGACATGGCGGCAGCAACATCTTCTTTCAACCTTCTTTCTTTGCGCTAACATTTGGGCGGCGTTATGAAAATCTTCCCACATCGTGACGTAGACATGTGGGGGCGTGTTAGAACGAGCCGTTTTAGGAGGGCGTGGCTGACTCTTAACTTTTATAAAGAATATCTCTTTGGATTTGAGACTTTAGTCTTTGCAACTTTACAGACCTTCTTTATGCACCAAGAGCTTGTAACACTTCAAAGAGAAAGGAAAAATTGAAATCGCATCATATGACCCCTTTAAACTTCAAAAGGTAATGATGTCATTGAATAAATATGAGCACTGCACGTTTCAAGTCAAAACGCCGCGTGGATGTCTTTATTTGAACGTATCTGAAGGGAACCGACTGCCCTCAGAAACGTGTCGTTGGTATTTTAATTTAATTTGACCTATAATTCCAAATCAGAATCAGAATGAGCTTTATTGCCAGGTATGTTTACACATACGAGGAATTTGTTTTCGTGACAGAAGCTTCCACAGTGTAACAGAATGACAGTAACAGAACAAAAAACACAGATAATAAAAATAAAAATAGAACAAGTAAATAAGGAATAAAAATATATAAATTGACAATTGTGTGTGCAGGTATATTACAATAGACAGGTTTAAAAAAAATAATAATAATTTTATGTACAGGTACTGTATATTATGTGCAAATTTGAGGTGTAGGCTGAGTATGAGTGTTAGATAAATAAGTGTATGAGTGAATAAATAGTGTGTGTTCCACGGTTATTGTCAAGTGTTCATGAGATGGATGGCCTGAGGGAAGAAACTGTTCCT